AAGATCGATCTTCCATCTGCAGACATGCCAGCTTAACAAATTAGATTCTTGTTTCGTGCAGGTGATTTGGTGACAGTTGGGGAATTAGAAGTAATAAGTTGTTGTGTTTTGAGGCCCGGGGCACCTGCCCCCGTCCGCGCCCCTAACAGACCGGCGCCCCGCGGCCGCGCCCGCCGCCCGCCGCCCCGCACCCCTGCCGCCGCCCCCCCCCCGCCGGCCCGCGCCCGCCGCCGCCGCCGCCGCATCCCCCGCCGTAATTAGTGCTGCTGCCCTCCATGTGGGCTCGATTAAACCGTGATTTAGCCGAAAGAAATATAATTATGGCTGCAAATAAAATAATCAGCATTGAAGAGCGATTTCCTTAATGAGATGGAGCGGTTGCACGTCACGGAGTAAAGGGGTCTCATTAAGAGGTGGTAATGAGGCTTGGGTGGATGGTGCAGTTACAAAATAGCCCAACTCCTCCGCAGGCCCGGCCCGCCCGCCCGAAGTGGCGGGCGCGTCGCCTTCCCGCGGTCCGGCGGTCCCGGCGCCGGGAGGCGTCGGCCCGGCCGCCCGGCCCAGGGGGCGCAGCGCCAGCCGGCTCCTCCCGCGGCGGTCGCGCGCGGCCGGCAGGCGGGCAGCCTCGGCCGCTCCGCGCGAGGGGGCGGCCTCCTCCCGGGCCGCCAGCCCGGCCGCCGCCAGCTTTGCACGCGCAACTGCCGGGCCCGACGCCGGAGCAGCCGGCCCGAGGCAGGGGCCCTGGCGAGGGCGAGTGCCGAGGAGCAGTCCAGGGAACTTGGGGAACAGGTGGAAGCCCTCTCGGGTGGCTGCGAGTTCAGCTGGGAAAGAGGGTCACAAAAGGCAGGTGCTCCGAGGCAGGCGGACGCCACCCCGGAAGGCGCCTGCACGCAGCAGCGGAACACCGCGTCTTCACACGCGCAGAGAATTCCGGCGTGCAAGGGCCTTGGGGTTCTCATTTTCCCCAAGCCTTTCTCCAAACTTTATTAAAGTACTGACAAAACATCTACTCTATATTTTAACCACCTCATTTTTTTAAAAAAAAGTCTCAAATATATTATTCCAAAGATTTCTTAGATAAGTACCTTTGACCTTTCTGGTTTATTAGGCTCAGGATGGCCTATGAGTTCCTTCTTTACATCAGGTCTCTCTCTCTCTCTCTCTCTCTCTCTCTCTCTATATATATATATATATATATGCATGCTCTCAATGTCCAGATGTGGTGACACCTCAACATTTATTTCTAATTAGATTGTTAGTCCGCTCCTTGATTCAGTTTCATCATTTGGACCCATTCTCAATTGGACAAGGAAACTTACGTTATTCACTGAAAGTGACTAATGAGGCAACTGACACACTTTTCCTTATTCATCCACCAAGTATTTACTGAGCACCTACTATGTGCTAAACACTGTGTTGGGCACTGGGGAATGAGAGCTGAACAGAGGGGGCAAATCCTTACCCTGATGTCACCCACAGCCCAGCACTGAATTTTGCCATGTGGTGGACTGTGCCAACAGCTATTGCACCCCGTGGGGGGCCGAGATAATCCCAGAGTAGCTCATTTTGTTTTAGTGTGCTTTTCTTCCCACCCAGAAACCTGGAATCTTGAGGAAGAAAGTAATTTGGTAAATTAACTTCCTTAGGTGTTAGGAATTAATGTAACACCGTGGAATAGTCCCATTCAAAAGAAGACTGCAAGGAGAGTCTTCTTGTCCATATCTGTCTAGTGGTAGTGAGAGGCTTGAGATGGGGATTTGGGTTTCATGACTATCTAAATTACTGGTTCCCTAATTAATCTTACTAGATCTATGGAAATTCTTGCATATTTTTAAGGAACTTTTCTTTTTTTTTGGTGGAATGTCACAGATCTGTTTAAAAATCTGATGAAAGCTAGGGACTGCCTCCCATTAAAATGCATATATTTGCAAACAACTTAAGGGGTTCAGGCCCCTCCTGAGCCCATCTATGGGTCCCAAGTCATGAAAGAGTGGTATCTGGGTGAATCTTTAATATCTATGATTGTGACCTTCAGAGAAGAAATAACGCAAATCTCCAGAGGACCTCTATCTGGATCTAGAATCAGAAAGAAATTGTCAAACCAGTGAGTTCCAAGAAAACAACTGGTTAGAAGATGCATGCAGTCTAACACATTTATAACAAATTCATAGCTTCAGTCTGACCCAAACACAGGTTGATATTAATCCAAACCTATGTTACCTTTTTTCATGTTGCGGAGAATTGTCAGGAAATCTGCTTTGCTGGTGGGCAGCTCTGGTCCCTAGATGTAGGCCTGGGCAGCGGCACTCTGGCTAGGGAGATAGCCTCATACAACGATGGGTCACAAATAAGCACACCTTGCCCTGGGTGGAGGTGCAAGTGAGTGTGATTAAAATTCACACACTGGGACCACAGAGAGTTAAGTGTGATTAGAAGTCTGTCTTAAGCCCACTAATGCTCCCAAATCCAGAGCTTAAGCTAATTCTCTCATTTACTCCCCAAAGGCATTTTACATTTTAGGGCCTGAAAGCCTGTAGCTTAGCTGCTTTCTCCATGCTTCCACACTTTCTCAAGTTGCTGATATATGGAACCAGAAGAGGTTCTCTTCTGATTGCTTTAGAAAAAGAATTTACTCTCTCCACCCTTAATTTTGGAGGATTCCCCAAGTCACCCATTAGGAATGATATTGACATTTTTATATAAATTTTCCTGGCATAATTTTTTTCACTCCCTGTGAAGCAGCTGCAGAAGAGAAGGGATTATATGTTAGGATATACAGGCTGCTGTAACAGGGATCTCAGATTAGAGTGGCTTAGAACAGACAGAATTGTATTCCTCTCTCACATAGCACACAAAAGCATTCCAAGGCTGATACAGCAGCTCTAAAAAAATCCAGAACCTAGCCTTCATTTTTAAAATTTTTAATTTTTTTTAAGAGATAGGGTTTCGCTATGTTGCTGAGGCTGGACTTGAACTCCTGGGCTCAAGTGATGCTCTCTCCTCAGCTTCCTGAGTAGCTGGGACTACAGGCGTGTTCTACTGCACCTGGGCCCAACTTCTTTACTGCTGCTCTGCCTTCCTTAACACTTGCCTTCCGACTTGTGGCCTAAGATGGCTGCTCCAGCTCCTGCCTTCACCTTTGCATTTTAGGTAGCTGGAAAGGGAGACAAAGAGGAAGGCTCATTCCTTTTTTTTTTTTAAGGGCATGCTTCAAAAATGCTTCTATTGCTTTCTCTCCCAATGCCTTGACCAGATTTAGTCGCATGACCATATCTACCTCAACAGAAATTGAGCACTATAGTCTCTACCTGAACTAGTTAAAACATAAGAAAGGAGGTTTGGTAGCTTTCCTGCTCTGGAAGGAACAGAACTGCTATCTTCAACATGGCCTTCACTTTTGACTTGGTCCCATCCTCACTCTTCCCCAGTGTTTGCTGAAAGATTGGTGTGTGGGGGGGGGGAGGAGAGCAGAGAGCGGAAGCAGAGTGGCCAGGTAGGAGCCTAATGCAGTAATCTAAGGGAGAAATGATGATGGCTTGGACCAGAATGAGAGCAGTGGAAGAGGAGATAAATGGTTGGAATCTAGAAGCATGTTTTAGGAAGCCTGGGATTTGCTTCTAAATGTGAGCTTTGAGAGAGAGGAATCAAGGATAATGCTACTCATTGCTTATCTATTTATCCATTGGCTGATTTTCTTTTAAGAGACAGGGTCTTGCTATGTTGTCAAGGCTGGTCTCAAACTCGTGGGCTCAAGGAATCCTCCCGCCTCAAGCTCCCAAGTAGCTGGGACCAACTACAGTAGCAAACCAGGGCACCCAGCTCCAAATTGTTATTGAGCACTGGCTGGGAGCCAAGCACTGGCCTGAAGCCTATGGATACGATGGGTATGGTCATGCTTTTATAGTTGACAAAGAGAGCCAGCAGAGAAGTAAATACAAACACGATGTATATAATAGAAAGCAAGTACCAGAGGCTTTGAGATAATATTAATAACTCAGAGGATATTCATTTAATCTAGAGGCCTGGGAAGTGATGTCCAAGCTGAGATATGAAAGGTACCTCGGAATTGGCCAGGAAATTGAGGTGAGATGAGGGCAGGAGGGCAAGAGCATGCGTGTAAAGGAGTTCTCTCCAAGTCCTAATTCCTTTCATGGCTTCATGTTGTCTGCCTGGTTAGCACATGAAAGCCTGGACTATGAAGTCTAGAATCCTGGACTTGGTTCATGTTGCCTCTTTGAAGAGAAAATGCTTTTTGAAGTTCAATCCAAGTTAATTACATTCAATAAACATTTGTAGGTTCTGGGCCAGGTTCCCAGCCCAAAGACAATAGCCCATGGTACCATTTAACCAAAGCAGAGATAATAAAATTGAAATCATTGAATTTTAGGATGTGCAGAGTTGCTCTCTAGGAGGTCAGACTAAAACACAAAGGATTTTAATATAGAAAGACATGTGAACAGTGATGTGATCAAAATCTACACAATTCAGGAAGGTGACAAGAGTATAAACATGATTTAGGAGACAACCTACAATCTTTATTTAAGACAAGTTTTTAAAAGTCCTTTATACGAGATAAATTAAACTTGTGGAATTCATTCCCTCCAAGAAGTGGTAAAAGTACTATATTTGTTGGGATGAAGATTCAGTGGCTGTAAAAGAGAAAACAGCAGCAGAAAAAAAAAGTGACTCCAATAAGATAGAAGTTTATTTCTCTCCCATTTAATAGTCCATATGTAAAAAACGTAGGCCTGCTATGGTAAGTCTATGGTGTCAGAGACCGAGCCCCTTCTGTCTTGCTATTCTGTCTGCTGGTGTGTCCCCATTGTCCATGTCATCCTAGGTGGCTCGCCACCATGTTACATTCTATCCAGCAGGAAGGGAAGAGTGGAAGAGTATCCTCCTTCCTTTAAAAGCACAACCCAAAAGTTGCACACAACACTTCTATTCAATCTCAATCCCATTGACTAGAAGTTGGTCAAATGATCACACTCCGCTACAAGGAAGGTTGGAAAATAGTCTTTATACTGGATAGGCGTGTGGCTTGTAACAACAGGGGGTTCTGTTATTGAGATATTACTGAGAGAGGGGAGAGAACACATACAAGGGTCCTCTTTGAGATTCCTTTTCTTACTCAGAACTTGCAAGGTTAGTGCTTGAAAGTAATTTTTCAGAGGATAGGTAGACACCTCTGAATCACAATTTTCACCTTCTTCTTTGGGTTCTTTCATTCTAGTTCCTGCTGGCACCCAGGTTCAGCTGCCTCCTTAATGATTCTGGCTGAAGCAAAGACTAAACTCTTTCCCTGGCTTCCCTTAGCCAAGACAGAACGGAGCTTTCAGAGAGTTTACTATAGAGAGATGGAAAGAGGACAAAGAAGACGATAAACACAGAAAGTACAAGAAACTTGTAAACTTCCCAGGTTACAAAGTCCAAGATGTCTATCAACTCTTCCTCACCTGTCTGAAAAGTTTAGTCCAACTTTTCAGGCACCTTGACCACAGCCCTCATTTCCTGGTCCCCAGCCTGTCTCTGCACGAGGGAGGACCGCTTTGACATTCATCTTCCAGAAACGACATGTGGTGCCGCCCTTATACCCAGGTAAGCAGGAGCCCCTGCCCTGGACGTTGGCTTTAGACAGCTGTGTGAGGCCCCTTGCAGCGCTGGATGCAGCTGGTGGGCAGGGGGAGAAAGGCAAGCCTGGACCTGGGGGCTGGGACTCCCAAAATTATAAATTTGAACTTGAACTTCCAGGTTGTTTTGAGGACATAGTTGTCAAGGTGTAAAGGTAGTACATATTTCATTTAACAGTTTGTTAGCTTGACTTATAATTTTTAAATATGCAGGTATATAGCATGTGGGCTTCTATTTGTACTCTTGCTCCAGGTCCTGCAAATGTTAGGGGTAGACCTGGTTGTCTTGCCACACATCTGGTTATCTTTAAAATCACACTATGAGAGATTCCTCCTCTGCACCCCACACTTCTAATTTCCAAAGTGTGGCCAGTCGATTATGAAGGAGGGCCCTCACTCTCAGATGGATGGCCACTACCAATACACAACATGCTAGCCTTTTGCTTGTCCTCGGATTTACCATTCTCTTCCCCACCTCAGGGCCATTGTACCTTGCTGTAACTTCTTTCCAAAATACACATCTCTGGACTTTCACATGCCTAGAGCTCTCTCTTCATTCAGGTCTCTGCTCAAATATTATTTCAATAGAGATGCCTCCCCTGACATCCCTTCCCCAATCCTAAAAGAGTCTCCCTAGAGTCAAATACATCCATAAATCCTTATCCCTTGCCTTGCTGTATTTTTTCAGCCTAGCACTCATCACTATCTGAAAATGTGCTATGTGCTTATTTGTTCATTGCCTCTTTCCTTGAGTAGAATGGGAGCTACATGAAGGCTGAAACTTTATCTTCATACCTCAGTATTCCTAGAGGCTTTTACAGATCCTGTGTATAATAATGTACAAAACAGTTTTTGTTGAATGAATGAATGAATGGTCTGGTTGTTCCATAGCAGTTGGGAATCAGATTTCCCAATTCTAACTAACCTTAGTAAGCAATCTGAAATATGTGGAAGAGTTCATTACTATTGGGATTTATGCTACCTGGTGAAGATAGGGGCAACCCGGCCAATGCCATGTGTGTAGAGCAGCCCAGAATGAGAATGGACGATTGCTTGATGGAGACACGTTAAGATGTCCCCGATGTTGAAGAGTCCAGTGTAGCTTTTGTGGTTGAAGTTGGGCTCTCCCACTCCAGCTCTAGTTTAAGCCCCGGAAAGTGAGCCCAGTGCAGAGATTGCCTTGTTATTCATTGGTGGTGGTGTTATTCATTAGTGTTTGAACAGGGGACTAGGCTGAAATTTGATGTAGACAATATAGAAGATGCTTTAGTGAAGGGTCCTGTACTCTCAGAGCCAGAAGAGTCCTTAGGGATGATACCCTAACATTCTCATTTGTGAAGGTAAGAAACGGAGGCCCAGAGGGGCTAAAGTCCCTTAATGACTAATGGAAATTAGGGCTTGGGCTCAGGTCCCCGAACCCCCAGGTCTATTTCTACTCTCTTAGATTAACCCCAATTAGTTTCATAGAAACCTCCAGAATTGGTATGGAATCTCTATCACACATTAAGTGCAGTTAACATTTATTAAAAGAATACCTGGCCAGGCGTGGTGGCTCACGCCTGTAATCCTAGCACTCTGGAAGGCCGAGGTGGGAGGATTGCTCAAGGTCAGGAGTTTGAGTCCAGCCTGAGCAAGAGCAAGACCCTATCTCTACTAAAAAAATAGAAAGAAATTAGCTGGAAAACTAATATATATATATAAAATATTAGCCAGGCATGGTGGCACGTGTCTGTAGTCCCAGCTACTCGGGAGGCTGAGGCAGAAGGATCACTTGAGCCCAGGAGTTTGAGGTTGCTGTGAGCTAGGCTGACGCCATGGCACTCTAGCCCTGGCAACAGAGTGAGACTTTGTCTCAAAAAAAAAAAAAAGAATACCTACTTGCAGTTTCTAAATGGCCTGTCAAATGGGGATAATCATAGTACCCTCCTCATGAGACTGGGGTGAGTATTAACCCGCTCAGTGTGGAGCGCTCACAGAGGAAGTGCCCCTTGAGTGACAGCTATTGCTGTTTACCGCTTACCACTTCCCCACCACTCGGGAACACATCTCCCGGATCCTTGCAGAGTAGCTGTGTCACTACTGCAGTTGTTCTGGAAGCAAGACGCTTGGCCCCTGGAGCCCTGTTTTAACCCAGAGTAGAGGTTTGGGGTTATCCTCAGAGGGAGAAGTTCTAACCAGGCCTGATGCCAACTGCCCCAAAAGCAGCTCCCACAAGTCTCTAAGTGACCAAGCAGCAGAAGCACCCGGAAAGCTCTGAGGCGCCGCTTGGCGTGGGCAGCCGCGCCTGGCGGGCAGGCAGGTACCAGGCTGCAGCCCTTTGAGATTCTCACAGCCCCATATTCAATTTGGGCCCTGTAGCTAAAGAGGTAAATTGAGGATATCGATCAGCTCATCAGCTCACGATTAAGATGTTCTTTTTCCTCTTCTGAAACCTACGGTCGCGCTGCGGTGGAGGGAGGAAGGCCAGCCCCACACAGCCACGACACCCAGGCTCTCCGGCGGCTCCTGCTTGCCTCGCGGGCAGGTCAAGGTCGAGAAGTCTTGATTTTAATATTTCTGTTGTCGTTCTTTCTCCTCTGTCCACAGCCATCGATTGTTGGCGCTTCGCCTGAGGGGATGGGGTGAAGTGGCAGACCTGCGGGTGACAGAGGGACAGAGCATTGGCTGGGAAAGGTGTCCCGGGGATACTCGTGGATCTGGGCTGTCTTCCTGGGGAGCCACAACTTCTGGAGAAAGGGAAGGGTGTTCCTCCCAGGAAAACATTGGAGACTCAACTTTGGATGAAAAAGGAGGTAGTAGAGGAATAAAGAAGCAAGAGCTACAAACTGTTTAGGCCACATCCTGGCAGAACGCCATACCAGCCCCCTTTGACTCCAGAACTTCAAGGCCAGGTGACAAAGCATGACATAACTGTAAAGCCCATTGCTGTTAAGAAATGAACACACATGTGCATGTGTACACACACACAGACACACACACACACACACACACACTCCCCTCACCCTGGCCTGTGAGCGCAGCATAACCTGACCCCTGTCTGTGCCTCTACCCACAACCTCTGCTTGGTGGACTACACATCTACCACCTTGGCCTCTTGAAAATCCATGAAATAATTTTTCCCTCTGGCTCAGGGCCCTTCCACATGCTGTTCCCTTTCCCCTGAATGCTCTCCCCCCATTCGGCATGGCTTTCGGATCTCGGTTTAGCTGTCACCTTCCAGGCCAGGCCTTCCTCACAGCTCCCACTTGGCCCTTCCTCCCTTAGTCACCTCCCATCCCAGCAGCCTGCTATAGCCCCCATAGCTCTCTCCCAGGGTTATCTTTGAGGTAAGTGAGTGCTTATTTATTGTAGATCTCTCCCATTACAAAGTGAGTTCCCTGAGGACAGGGCCATGTCTGTTTTGTGCCCAGAATACAATAGGCATTCAATAAGTATTCACCCAGTTGCACAAACCAAAAGAATTGAAGTCGTCCTCAAATCATCCCTTCTTATCACGTAGACTTTCAATCCAACAGCAACCTTCTTGGCTTCACTTTCAAAATATATCCCAAGATCTGCCCACTTCTCCCCACCCTCACACCATAGGTCCACAGGTTCGAGCCACTGCACCTGGTACCTGGATTATTGCAGTAGTTGGACAGCTTCCTCCTCCTCTCTCTACCTCTGTCCTCGCCAAACGCCATGCCCACTTGCATCACAGCAGTTGGAATGGAGGTCCAACTGTGTCACTCCCCTGGGCAAACCTCTCTGGTCTTCCCACCACATGTGATCAACTCTCAACCCCTCACTGCAACTTACAAGGCCCACACAGCCAGGCCTCTGGCCACCTCTCAGACCATATCTCCCACGAGTGTTTAAGAACACTAGCATTTCCTTTTTCTGTAAACTATCTGTCCATTTTTCTATTTGGTGATTGATCTAATTCTTATTGATTTGCTGAAATCTATATATAACAGGAAAAGTAACTAATTGTACAAGTGAGTTACAAATAGTTTTTTTTCCAAGTTTGACCTTTCTTTTGACTTTGCTTATGACATTATGTAGTCTTATTTACCAGTCTTGTCTTCTATGGCTTTTGGGTCTCCTGTGGTTTCTTCATCTTTAATATTGAAATCTTTAATCCGTTTGGGCTTTATCCTCAGTAAGATATGGGGTAGGAATCCAACTTTGTTATTTCTTTCTCACATTGCTATGGAATTATTTCTTTCGACAACTCTTAATGGTACCTGAAATGGTATTACATAGCTATCGGTTTACTTATTTTTTATCTCAACTACAAGGTTCTAAAAACTGCGTAGGGCAAGGACCTTGGTCCTCTTTGTTTTCTGCTGTATCTCCAAAGTCTAGCACATCTCTGGGACATAGTAGATGCTCAATCAGTATTCAGAGGGTAAAAATATGAATGAACATATCTATCAGAGACCTTTGCATAACAAACCACTTCAAATTCAGAGGCATATAACAATAAATTCCTTGCTCAGTCATGCAGGGAATAATTCTGATACCCAGATCCTTCCTCTCAGAGATTCTTATTTAATTGGTTTGGGAGGCAGCCTGGGCATCTGGATTTTTTTTTTTTTATCTCCCTAGGAGAGTCTAATGTGCAGCAGTGTTTGAGAATTGCCATTACAGATAATATTTGCTATTGTTCCGATTGCATCAAATGTTTGAGTTGCTTAGTTACAATGCTATTATATGAAGCATATTAATGGGGAGCCTGAGGCATATGGAAAGTGAGTGGAACCTGAACTATGTTTACACAGAACATAAAGGTGACATTGTAGGAGCTACTCGATGATTTAAATGTAAGAAATCAAGCAATAGAATTCAGGTTCCAAAGTGTAGTGTTCACTCTATGAGTCATAATACAACAGTTTATCTCATAGGGAGGGAAGAATTGCTTGTCAAATGATTCAAAGCCACAAACTATTAAGGACTTATAGGAGATTCATGTCACAGGGATATATGTTGTCAAATATATTAAGGAAAAAATTGGCATACGTTACTTACGTTATTTGCTATTGTTAGGATAATACTGTAGAGTTATACCAAGATCATCTAATGCTGTGACAGTTTTTCCTTCTTAGAAGAATCAGATGAAATTAAAAGGGGGTGATGATTTCTTTATTGTTCTTTGGCAAGGTACTGCTAAGGTCCTTGGACTTCCCCCCAAAGATAGGCAGTATTAGTAAATCCCCTGTACAAAGCATCTTTGTTTAGAAGTCCTGCTTAATTGATCTTCTGATTTTTAGCCTACATAAGTAAATTGGGGAGAAACTTCTCTTTCTGTTACCCAGGTAAGAGAAAACAAAATTATGATTGGCTGTTACCATAGAGTCGAGATTTCTGTACCAAGAAAGATGAGAAGTTAGAACTCTCCTCCCTCACTACTGGAATAGTCACTTGGTTGTCACATAGGTGCTTGGCCAAGCTCTGGAGTCCAATATTGTTTGTGCTGAAGACACAGTAGATAGTATAGGCCAGTGGTTAGTGCTGTGAATTATGAATAAAGGGAAAGAGAAACCCTTTGGGTCCTGCAGCCATCTCATTGTGATCCGAAAAATCAAAGTGCTGTCTAGACCAGAGGAGTCAGTTCTAACCATGGCAAACTGTAAAATAACTGTGTATTTTGAGTGGCATCTAGCACTCAACAGGCACTTAATAAATATTCACTAATAACATTAGGCCACTCAGCACCAAGCAGGAAGAGAAGGCCACTTTTTTTGTTGTTTTATACTCGGGTAATTGATAAAAATAATCACAAAGCTTTAAATGTTTAGCAGTGATTAGCTAAAACCATCACCTCCAAGCCCTTCCCACTTTGATAAACTCATTCCCATGAAAATACTCAGAACCTGAGGAACAGCAGGGAAAGAAGCCAATAAAAGCAGCTCAAAGAGTTTTATATTATCTCCATAAGCTATCTAATCTAGCCATTTTGAATGATCTATGTAAATTAATTACACTTTTTAATTAGGTGGTCTTTTAGCTTGCATATTGAAGTTTGCCACTAATTACAGCGAGGCAGGAGGTCACTTGATTGGTATGGGAAACAAGAGGCCTTTATTTCATTGAACTGAAACACTGAACAGTTAATGCTTAGGGGGAAAAAAAAACTGTAAAATTTATGCCGGTTCTCAAAATTCAAACTGCGCAGCTCTTGTTCATTTTTTTCCCTGACTCAAATCCCCATCTATGGCTCACTGGGGGTTTTTCTTTATAAATATTAGAATGACTTCTAAACACCCACTGACTCAAAACTATTATCATAGAGCAGCTCAGAAGCCTGAATTTTGCATCCCTAATGCTAGGGGGAGAAAAACCCACCCTTTTGATATTAGTCACATTAAATGCCATTTAATTGCTAGTGCAGCTGTTTCCAGATGTGACTTTATTTTGTTTCTGCCAGCCAGTCTGTGATTTTCATTAACTTCACCATTAAAAAAAAAAAATCTTTTGCCATACTTGATGACAAGCAGAATAAAGTATTCTTTAATTTAACAAAATACAGTGGTCATTGTAGTGAACAGACTGCATTTAATATCTTTAAGATATTTCTGAATGACATTTTATGGCCCTTTCCCTCCTCTAATCTTGCGTCATGCACCAGGATCCTGAATTCTATTCTTTTTCCACATTTTAGTGACCCGTGTCATCCAATAGAGGATCAGTGGGTGGGGAGTTATGCAAGAAACATTTGCTGATTTAATGCAATTCTTAGAAAAATCAGGACCACTAATTAAAAATCATAGAGTGAATAAAAGTCTTGACCCAGAGGAATTTTCCTATCTGCCACTCAGAGTGGCCCTCATTTTCACGCCTGGCACACACACATTGTCGCAATCCTGGGAGTTCAGTGAATCTACTGTGGGTTGCATTTCCTCAGGAGCCAAGGGCTACATTTCTGCTAGATGGCCTGCCCGCCTCCCCCAAGGGTAGGGCCCGTATTATTCCAGTCTCTTTGTCTAGCTTCAAAAACAGCATTTTTGAATCACATCCAACAGGGCAGTGTAGTGAGTGGGAAGAGGACCCATTTTGTCATGGGAGGTGTGGGCTCCACGCCTGCATCTCCTTGTGAGAGCTGCGTGACAGTGGCCAGCCCCTTCACTTCCCTGGTGGCTCCCCCTTTTCTCAGCTGTGAAATGAGGGAGTCATTTAACATGAGCTCTCAAGTTTCTTCCACTTCTCCTAACTTCCAAGGCTGCCTCTGCTGAAGCTTTTATCACATTCAATTAATTCATCATGCATTTGTCTACATAGACGGCAAACTCTTAGAAGGCAGGGATCAGATTTTATTCCCTTTTTTGGTCTCCAACACCTAAAGACTGATAAAAGTGCAATAAGTATTTGTTGAATTAATGGGCTGTGAAAATTAAGACTATGAGCTTATACATTTTATTAACAATACTACCAGTTGTGGTAGGAATAGTGGCAGCACACTTTTTTTTTTTTTTTTTTTTTTTTTCCAGACGCTTCTTGGGCTAGGAGGCATTTTGCTAAATGCTTTATATGGTTTATCTCATTTAATTGAAGGAGACAAGCTCATATTTCCTTTTTCCCTCTGTGGCAAACACTACTAAATAAAAACCATTCGCCTCTTCATCCTTCTTAATAGAACCTCAATTTTGTTTGGGGTAGCAATGTAAATGTTAGAAACATTTCCCTCCCCCAGATGCCGTTGCTTCTTGGGGTGAACCACTTGGCTCCCTTCTGGCTAATGAGACACAAGCAGCAGTCTATACTGCATGAGATGTCTAGGAAAGCTATTATTTCCTGGGGGAAAAGGGGTAACTCTCAGCTGGAGTTTGACTTTTGCCATTTCACCTTCTCTCACTTTCTGCCTGGGACTTGGACTCAGTGCCTGCAGGCAGGTAGATCAGCCATCACGCTGCATGTGCACAGAAGCCTGGTGGAGCAGGAAGTGGCATGGAGCCTGGATCCTTGGTGACTTCCTCAAGTGGAGGCATCAGCCCAGCATTGCACCTCCAGACTCCTGGTTATGTGAGAAAGCTAGACCTCCTGCCTAATACATTCCGCTTTCCTACACTCTACTCACAACAAGTGTTTTCCCAAACGCAGATATTCCTGGCCTGTGCTTTTACAAGCTCTGACTTATGCTCTTTCTTCCAAGAGCCCCCTCCCTCCTGCCTCATTGCCTGCTTCTTCATGGTTCCCTGCCCCTCTATCTCATGCTTGCTTTGACGACTTCTGGATTAACTACACATTCTTGTTTTCTGTATTCTTGATGCTCTGGCATCTGGGCCTCACTGGCTGCCCCTCCTAGGGCTAGCCATCTCTTAGGGACAGCAGTGAACTCCCTGGGAGGTGTGCCTTTCATATGAGAACTGGCCACTCCAGAGCCCTGACTCCGAACTTCCCCCTCTCCCTAGGTTTTGTACTCCAGGAGGCAATTTCCCTGCATCTTCACCACTCCAAGCCCAGGTACTGCACAACTAGGGACCACCGCTGTAGCCCAGAGCTTGCCAAAATTATTCAGAGTATTTGACCCTTATTAACTCGGCTTTGCTGGTTTCCCTGCCTCACCCGTTTCTTCCTGGTGGAAACTACAATCAAGGCTCCTGCCTGACCCTGGTTCTCCTCTGCATGGCCCTGCTGGTTTGGCATGTCCCCTCTTGGGAACTGCAAGTAACACACTGTCTTTTCAACAGCAATAGTCTCCTGATCTGTTGGCCTCACCATGTCTGAATAAAACCAAAATTTTAAGACACCTTCCAATAGCTTTCCCCTACCTACCTGTCCTAGCCTCCCACTCCACATAACAAGATCTAGGCAGCTAGCACAGGAAGAGGTACTGGTTTTTTGCACTTGTTATTCTTGTTCTATCTCCAGTACTGTACTTTGTCACCACTGTTGGTCAAGGATTATAAGCCCTTTAATTAGGAGAAATTACTGCCTCTCATGATGGATTACAATTTTTTCTTTTGCAAAAGATCTCAAGTTTCTACAAGCTTAGATGCTAGTGATGATATAATATACACCAGCGAGCAGACAGAACTAATAAAGAAACTGGGCACATTTTTAGATTCTTAGAATGTTGAAGCTGAATGGAGCCTAAGGAATCATCTAGAAAACAGATTCCAGTCTCCTCCTATGACCCATAATAGTAATATATGCTATTTAACCCAATAAATTTAAAGTGACTCATCCCAAGGCACACAGAGAGCCAATCAGATTTAAAAGTATAGCTAATTTATCTGAGTGGCTGCCTTCAATGTTGAGCACTTAGTATGTACAAAGTCACATGTAGACCTTGCTGCTAATTCACGTGTAGGATGAGGTGGATTTGCTTCCACTACAGCTTTCAGCTCATCATTATCCACCTTGGTCTCAGGTCACCCACGTGGCTCACTTTCAAGATTAAAATCACCAGAACGGAACTTCTCAAACCATTGATGTACTGTGTGTTCATTAGCCACATCCTTTCCAAATACTTCATTGGTCTTTTGAGCTGTCTGTGCTGCATTGGTTCCACAATGGAACTCATATTCAAAAATAACATGAATTTTTGACTTATCCATGGTTTCACAAAATTTGCTCTAAAAAAAATTGAAAGATAATCACAAGCCCAAACATATGTTTTAAAGATTGAGGATGTATCTTCCCAATTAAAAAAACAAAACAAAACAAAACAAAAACCAAGAAGTATCAAAGTGAAATGTCTGAAGTACCAACTGTCAAACTTAGTACTTAAGGAAATCGGACATTTCATACTTAATATAATAACATAATAATTTGAGTATGATGTCATGATTCTCAACATCAGTGAAACTTCATTGTATTCTCCATTGTCTCTAACAGCTGTGTATTCTTCAAACGATTCTCATATATCATTCTGCTCATCAATGACCTTTGCTAACTGGGGAAAATGTTCATCCAAAATTTCCTTTTGAAAAAGTATTTTGGAAAAAACATAGCTTTTTTCGAAATGCTTGTATTTTCCCCCTATATATCATTTATAGAGTTAGTTTTACCTTGCAAAGAAATAGTCATTTTAATTAGACATGATATCACATACAAGTGCTGAATTCGCATAGAAATCTTCTTTCAATAATTCACATTGCTGATTCTGTTCTTCATAAAATTTAACTATCTGTTCTTGCAGCAATAAAATTTTGGCTAACACTGGCTAACACTAACAAAGCACTTTAGAATGAAAATGGCAAATCCATACTGAATACCTCATGTTCAACTTTAGCATGTTGTAAAATTGATGATGCCATGTTGCATTTGCACGAATATAGTTAACAATACTTATAACTTGT